TACTTTTTCCTCTCTGGTAAACAGTATATTAGCGGTTACTACATGCTGAAACATGTTTGTAAATTAAACAGCCAGCATTATCTAAGATCTTCTGTCCAGTGTGCATAAAGTTGGTGCAAAATGTAACACTCCCTCATCGTTTTTTTAAATAATTTTTTATGGCCTGTAGATCAATAAAAATGTTTATGTTCACCATTTGGAATGTATGTTACAGATCTAAATAGCAAACGCCTTTGCTGTCTACTGTCAAATCTGCTGTTACTTTGGAAATGATCTCTATATAAATAATTTGTGGGTTGGAGTTGAACCGTGCCAGACTCAAGAGCAAATCCTCACATGGATATGGATAAACTAGTGATGTTGAGCACCTGATTATTTATAATATCGCCTGGCAGCTGTTCTGCTTTTAACCCAGCAGTCCAAAACTGAATATTGTGTTCTTTCCACACCTCTGAAACCCATTTTCTCACAGGCCATCTTGGCTAGAAATGCAAGGTATAATCATTTCAGAGCCAAAAAGGTCACTGCCGGTTGGTTGTATTTTTTTATTCAACATTTTACTTTAAAAAAAAAACCCCAACAGTATTTAAAAGTTGAACTTAAATAGTTCCAGGTGTTACTTCTGCACGGCACAGACCCAGAATAATGCACATGTATATATCTGCAACATTTTTCTTCCATTCCATATTTATATATTTCTACATTTATTATGTTGACTGTATGTTTGTCTACGTGTAGCACCTTATCACCACAGCAAATTCCTCGTATGTGTAAAAACACTACTTGGCAATAAAGCTCCTTCTGATTTACATAAAAACATTCCCACCATAAATTGGCGCAGAAACTTTCACCAGAATGCAGGAAATGAAGTGAGGACCCCCAGACTCCTACATCTCAGCATTGAGGATATCTATAAAACACTGTTTAAGGATCTTATCTCGTTCTCGTGAATCTAATATTGCATATTGTGATGTCTTGTGAGCTAAGTGTGTCCTCACACCCCGAATCCGAGCCCCTTTGTCCCCACCACTTTTCAACACAAAGTGACGCCCTTGCCTACAACTCTGGGAAACTGTGTTGGGCATTTTTCACAATTTACTGTCTCAATAGGCTGGGCGATTAATCAATGAAGTGAAAAAAAAAAACAATCAATAGATTAATCAACAAGGAAAATAATCAGTAGTTTTAGCCCTATGCACCTAAAGAACATCTACATTTGTTAACTTTCCAAGACTTCAAATTTGGAATACTTTACTACCAATGGATTCTTTTTTTTTTTTTAAATGGCTGTACTGCAATTTTAAACGATTCCATAACTTTTTCGAGCAATAAAACGAGAACAGCTGTTTCAACTGCAGCAGAAAGGAAGAAGACAAGAAGAAAAGGTAAAGAGGTAAAGAAGAGAAGGGGGGGAAGAGATGAGGGCCGATATCCTCAGACAGGCAGAGGGACTGAAAGGCAACACCTCAGATCATACACCACATCACAGCCAAAATTTCACTCAGAGTACAGGAGACTGAAAACATCTTTGAACAAAACATTTCACCATGGCTGACATAACCTCCTCCTCCTGTCAACACACAGAGTACAGCCTGCTGCTGTCTGGTTGCTATAGCAGTGGTGTCAGGCTACTGTCTAGTTCAGTATGATAGGAAAAAGGCCCGAAGGAGGGCATTGTTCAGCTCCGACAGACAGCTAGGCTGATGTTGACAGGTTCAGGTGAAAAACAATGTCTGGATTAACGTTAGATGGGAATCAAGCACTAAAAATGACTCCCATGGTGCTCTGCGATCTCTTAAGTTAATGACATCGCTCCGGCATAAACAAGACTATGCAACCTTTGAGGCAGCGCTCTGAAAAGAAATCTGGTGTCAGTTCACAATTAACGAGATGAATAATTGATTTGTCTCTTGTTCTACATCAAATGAAGTCACAGAGTGCCCTTCACTGCAGATCTCCACTTTGCAGAATGTGGTAAAGTTGCTTGTGGAAAATTGTGAATCAGTGTTCAATGCAGTTAGAGATTTAAAATACTGTTAAAAATAAAACCGTTTATAACACTGTACTAAAGGCATTTCAAAGGGATAGTAAATGATTGCAATCCAACGTTTTGTTAAATTCCCTTACAGTTTGCTAGCTCTAAAAATAAAATGTGGTTTTCCTTCACAGCCCTGGCTCTGTAAATGGAAAACAAAGAAAAGGGTGCTGACCTTCCCCACAACATTGTTCTGGCCAGTCAGCAACAGGTGGCATTAGTGCTCATGCACAAGACTGATGGGAGAGAGAGTTCTACCGGCACTCCAGGCACTGTGATGAAGGAGAGATAGCTGAGAAACAGCCAAAGAAGAATAGGCAGCTGAGTTCTGTAGAATCACTTACTTTCCCCCTTGAATCTTCCGCAGGAATAACACCTTTCATCCTATATTTTGAGAGGAAATATGCAGATTAACAACAGGTAACCTCTTAAATAGCGCTCAGACCTTTGAGGTCAAAGGAAATGTTGCCGCTGTCTCCGGGCAAAAATGTCCTTCACAGGTATTGACTGAAAAGAGCCAATGAAATTGGTACAAAGGAAAAAAAGTACAAGACACGTATACTCAACCCTAAACTAGCAGAGGATCATTTGAGAATTATATTTTTGACATTCAACCAATCACGCAGGTTGCACAGTTAACTGCTTTGATGGAGTCGTATATATTACCTACACACCTGTGCTTATGCGACTCTGGCATAAAGAGAGGATGACCTGTACTATTAAGTCCCCAAACAAAGTGAGCATGATGAATGCTCTTTTAAAAGTCAGCAGGATTACATTTCTTGTCATCTGTTTTATTTTTAAAAGGCAATTGATTTGCATAGAATGTTGTTTATATCTGCTTCTATTTTATGTTATATACAGATTAAAAGTATTTTAATGCAGCTGACATATTCTTAGTGTTGCACATGTTAATCAAAACTATTTGACAGAGCATATTGACCAAACTTCTCTGCAGACCTTTGTTTCCAGAAGCCTTGACAGCCTGAGTACCACAGGATATTCATGGGAAAATGTTTCCATTTCAAATACCTTCCTTGAATACTCAAAATAGGGATTTTTGAGTTTGGCGAAGGAATCAAGATTTTTGTGTTAACTTGCCTGCAAGACAAATGATTTCATCGTGGTTGTAGTTTTAACCAAAGATTTTTTCCCTGCAGGAGGAAACAGCAGTTGTGTGGAGCCTTCAGACACTCATGTGTTTCCATAACAGGATTAATCCAGTAAAATGTTTGCCTGATTACACACCTGTGACAGAAAGCATCAGGCCACAAGCCTCTCTACAGTGGAGGAGCTACTGATACTCAACTGCCACCTGGTGGTTAAAACCATACAATACAACATAGATGGACAGCATTAGATGGCAGCCAGGTTGTAACTCCATAACAGCTCATTTAAATGGTTTGAGCGCTCTCCTCTACTAGTGGCAACAGTTCATCCACAATAACCAGACTAGTCCAGGAAGCAGTCAACATTTTTACTGGTTTGGTCACAGAGTCTCCAGCCATCTAAGTGTTCCCAGAATTAAGTCCAAACATGATGAAGCTGCTTTTAGCAATTGTACTGCACATACAGTCCCTTCCGAAAGTATTGGAACAGTAAGGCAAATTCCTTTGTTTTTATTGTTCACTGAAGACATTTGGGTTTAAGATCAAAAGATGAGTATGAGACAAGAGTTCAGAATTTCTTTTATTTCCTGGTATTCACAACTAGATGCGTTAAACAACTCAGGACACATCACCGTTTGTATTGGACCACAGCATTCTTAGGTGAGCAAAAGTAATGGAACAAATAATCTTAGAGTAAATAACATTTAATATTTGGTGGCAGAACCCTTGCTTGCAATAAAGCCTCAAGCCTGCGACCCATCGACATCACCAAACTGTTGCATTCTTTGTTTGCGATGCTATTCCAGGCTTTTACTGCAGCTTCTTTCAGTTCTTGTTTGTTTCAGGGTGTTTCTCCCTTCAGTCTCCTCTTAAGGAGGTGAAATCAATACTCTATTGGGTTAAGGTCAGCTGACTGACTTGGCCAGTCTAAAACCTCCCTGATGAAGTCCTTTGTTTTGTTGGCAGTGTGCTCTGGATCATTGTCCTGCTGCATGATAAACTTTGTCCCGATTACTTTAGATGCATTTCTCCGTAAATTGGCAAACAAAATGTTTCTGTCCACTTCTGATTTCATTCTGCTGCTACCATCATCAGATACAGCATCAATAAATAATGGCTTGCTTTTCTCCCACAGACAGCTCTCTGGTCTTCATGTTGGTTTATCCTCTAACAGGAAATGCAGTCTTTATAGGTTTGAACCAAGGATGAAAACTTAGACTAGTCATGCAGAGCTAATTAACGTTTGGACAATCAACCTAAAAGGCAACACCCGGGCAACAAGAAACATCTGTCAGTCACATGTTCCAATAGTTTTGTTCACTTGAAAAATGGGTGGGTTCAAACAAAGGGTGGTATGTCCAAAGTTATTTAACACATCTAGACGCGAATACCACGAAATAAAAGCTGAAATTCTGAACTCGTCTCATACTCATCTTTTGATCTTAAACCCAAATGTCTTCAGTGAACAACAAAAACTAAAATTTGCTTTACCGTTAGAATACTTTGAGAGAAATGTATCTGGAAGTCGCTAAATTTCCTTCCAGCAACTCTCATTACAAATTATGCAGCCCCATCATAAACACAACCAATCATTTATAGGTCCACAAACTCTTCTTCAAACTTCTTTCAGAGATGTAGCTAAAAATTGTAATGGCATTACCTAAAGTATGATTTGAAGCAAGTATAATTGTAATTTCACATAAGAGGCATTACTGCCTCAAATCAGCACATCTTTGGCATGTGGGGAATTCCATATAAAAGTTAAATATTTGCCAGCCATGGCTGTGTTTGCTGTTCATGGTAGATATCCATCTTTTGGATTGTTTTGTTGGAGTCACACTAAAATAAAATACAAGTGGCCTAAAACAATTTTTATTTAGTGAAATAAAAGAACACTGGTTTAACAGGGTTTACAGATTCTTTATGATCCAGTTGTATTTATTTTATAAGGTCAGTGGTGTTGACGGGAATGGTTGTCTGTGTTGGCCCTGCGATGGACTGGCAACCTGTCGGTGTACCCCGGCCTCTCGTCTAATTCCATCTTTGATTGGCTCCAGCCCCCACCTGATCCTATACACAGGATAAGCAGAAGACAATGAGGTGTTAATATATCTTTGCCTTTATTACTTAATATACAACGATCATATGAATTTCATGTCATATTGCCTAGCCTCAACTTTGACCAAATAAACACATTAACAGGCCTCCGACCCACTGAACACATGAAGCAGTGTTTCCCATACCCGCGTATCAATTTTAGTTTTGATTTTTTTCCTTTCCACATTTAAAAATGGGTAACATTTATTTCACTGTAGAGCTGTGCATAGATTCTCTCAGCCCCTCCTTCACTCTCTAACACACTGACAGACCCATCTGTAAATAGCCCTTCCTCTCTGTGCATACACTGAATCAGAATGTGATTATGCACGGGAGGAAGGATTGTTGTATGGCTTCTAGACCTGCACGCAAAAAAGAGGGACATGCATATGACATAAGTGCACAGAACAGTATCCGCAAGTGGGAAAGAATCTTTCCGAGGGAGCATTTCTGCTTCATGTGCACAAATGTGATCCCTAGAGCATTGTGCTGTGACGAGTGAGCTCAACCCTCCCTATGCGTTAGCAACTGCTCAACAACTTGCTCTCCAAGTTGACATGCAAACGGGATGGAATAGACCAGGGTTTCCCCAAACCTCTCCCGGAGCCTGTACCATGAAGCAGGATTTGAGCTTATTGGAGGTAACTTTGGGGTTAAACCTGGGTTTTCAATACCACGACAGTGGTTCACTTCTTACCGGGGTAGATCTCCATGGTGACTTATACTGAACGGCTACCCTGCTCTGGAGCAGGTTATGTTCCAGATAAGAACTATAAAAACAAACGCCACCTACTGACCAATCAGCTCTCTTGGAAAATGACATCACCATCTGTAGGAAATCCCACAGAATGATTAGGCTGCTTTATGTTTGCTGCGGTGATGTGGAGAAACTCTGGTAGGCTATAGCAATAATCATCCCACAGACACTGATTAAAAGCCTTAGGTTATGTAGACCTACAGATTTTTACAGTAGCCAACTAACTGCTTTGAAAGGGGTTTTTTTTTTCCCCTCCCCAGTCTGTTTCACACAGCCCGTCACAGCCGTTAAAATAAGAGGGTTTCCTTTTTCTTATAGCCTATATTTCTTATAGGCTGATTATGAGCAGTTTGGTAGGGATATTGAAATGTTACATTTGAAGATGTACGTAGGCCATTTATTTTAGGTCAGTAAAGTCTATCACAGAGACTGATGTGATGTGAGCAGAGTTTCCAGTAGCTTAAATGTTGAGATTCAGTCTTTCAACCACTATTTGAGCACATTTTATGTTATGAATGGGGTTTTCCTTTCATTGCTTTATGGAGGTAAATTTAGAACAATGCTGGGAACACTTTGAGTGTGTTAAATTATCCCATTTTTGAAGTGAGGGTTGGGTTGAAACGCTGGGTTGACTTACCGAGTTGATAACCAGCTTCGTGGTACCGCTTATCCTGATTGTTGGGGTTAGTTAAGCCAGATATAGAAAACATATCCTAGGCTGAATTCTCTTTGTGGTTCAGGCCCCTGGCGTACCCTTTTGTCCTGCATGTTTTATAGCTCTCACTGCTCTAACCCAACTGATCAAATAGTTCTGAACTCCTGAAGCTGCTCGATAACCAGCTGATAAGTTATTTCAGAATAACAGGTTTGGGCAAACACTGGAACAAACCCTCCAGAAAGAGAATCCAATTCTGTTGCAGATATGTCGATGAGCTGTGGCCTCTGATGATGCAAGGCAATCACAAAAATTGTAATGCTTCAGAGGGATCATCCCATTCCAGCCACCTCTGCAAAAGTCTCAGTAAAAGCAATTACTGTGACTGCTCTGACTCAAAGGATTACTGAACAGTTGGATGATAATGACAAGGACTGTTAGAAATACTGTATAGAGTTTGTGCATATTTACTACAGTGGGTATCTGTACCATGTTTTCTGTAGTGATCAATGTTGCAAAACTAGACTTCCCCCTGTGTTGCTTACCAGCAATATGACCACAGTAGAGCTGCTTACACAAAGGTAATCAATGTTCATGAGGCTGCAGCTTGCAGTGTTCTGATGCCAACTCCTCGTCCATCTGCCCAGTAGAGTAGAGAAAAGGACAGGTTGGTCTTTCTTCAGAGTAACATACAAACATGAGTGAAAAGAAATTAGATCTGAAAATTTCTGCAATTGAAATGATCAGACAAATCAAGTGCAGCTCAATATTTCATTTTAACATTATGTACAACTTTCTTGGTGAATGCTCATTTTAACAAAACCACAATCTGATTTGAATTCGGACAGGATACTTAGAGCTCTATTAACTTGTAAATTTTTGAAAAAGAAGTGTGTTAAGGAATTTAACATTGGATGTTCCAACATTACAGTTACAAATATCCCCCTTCCACCACATTTACAGGACAGTTGAAAGTTTAATTCTGACCTCTGTTGGGTGATCAATATCAGTTCTTATCAAATTATTTCAGTCTCACAGGTCCTCCTGCCCTGCAGATGGTCCTAGTTTGACATTGATATACTTACTGTAGAAAGTGTAATCAATCTCAGTAGATAACCAAAAATGACAGCTGAAGCCAACCAATTACAAAACCTTTAGAATCAGGGGTTCAGTGCCAAAGGCAGCACTAATAATAGTTAACATGAAATTTTAGGACCTTATAAAATATGGATATGGGTTTCCCAGCATCGGGTAGGGTCAGTTCAGGCCATGCTGCAAGAGCTCAGCGTTCAAGGACATGTGCAGCAGGTGGAGGTCCAGGTTGAACTTCAGTTGTGATCTGCAACTGTACCAGTGGCTTCTGCTGCAGAGCTGACAGGGTTTTCTGGCACGACGCTGCCTGCAGGGACAACAGAGAGGGGGAAGTGAAGACAGAACGAGGACAGGGGAAACTTAAAAGCAGAGCCAGTTATTTAGTTAAAGTAGTAATCAGGACAAACGGGGAGAACTAACAGGAAATCCGCTATCGTGGGCAGTTTGTTTCCCCCAAAAAAAACCCAGTGCCCAACTATCAACTGGGCCACTGACACTGAGCTGGACTAAGTTTTAACTGGGTCATTAATGAGTAACAGAGAAACCGTCTGCTCATAAGTCAGTTAAATGATAAACAGAAATGTACAAAGTTATTAAAACAGTAAGAAAAATGAATGTCCTGGACAGGGTATCGCCTGTGCTGCCTCAGTGAGAACACCTTCACTCTATTTTACCATTGCCGAGAGCTGACTAAGCATATCTCCCATCAAGCATGATGAAATTTGATTGTTCCGAATAAAATCATTTATTTTACATGATTTGCAATGTAGTGCAAACATATCCAGGTAACAGAAGTCAGTAGCAAGTGTTTACAACTGAGGCAGTGATAAGACTTTGAAGCTCTGACAAAGAAGGCAAATTGCGAGGGGTGAAAGATTTCTTTCCATCATTACCTCAAAAGTTGACTGAATTGGAATGTTTCTCCTCATCAGCTCTCCGGTTGGAGTTCCTCCACCCATTATGAAGGGAAAACTTTTGCTGGCGGGATACATTTTGTTAATCATGTTCACAGTGGCTCCAACATCCTGTCTAACCACGTCCTCTAACTCTCCCCCATCCTCAGGCTGGGAAGGGATGAAAACAGAACAAAAACACAGAATTGTAGGTCAGGAAAATGACGAGACCTTAAACAGTATCCCACTGTTTGTCAGGTGATGGGGTGACTCAGATGGCCCCTGTGCACGATGGGTGTCACCACAGGTCGTCAGGACAGGTCCGCTGTGCTACTGCAATCAGCAGCCCGACTAATAGTGCAACTCATCATTGTCACAGCCCAGTGGCTCCCCAAAACACTTTTTGAAAAAAATATACCAGGTATAGCAGGACTAAATTTTGGATAGTGGAGGCATTTCAATACTCCAATTTACTCCTGTTACTTGACATTACACTTGCAGAACTGAAAGTCTGACCCTAACCCCAAAAGCAAATCGAGTGAGTTTAGTTTTACTCGCTGGCGCTCTTTCAGGTTAGTCAGAAGTCGACTGATAGTGACACTGTTTGTATCAAATGCTTGCTAAGTGACTGCTGTACACAAGTTGTCACTGTCTCAAGGATTTGTTTGACAAGTCAAGTTTTACCTTTTTACAGCTGATGTCATCTTCAACGAAAAACATGGACAAGGACACTCATCAAAAGCACTGTGTGTTACACGTTCAAAGCAAAAAATAAATAAATATAAAAAGACCTTTGGTAACAGGAGATGAAATACTCTCATCCAGAAACAGCCCTTGAGGAATGAACGAGCTGGCCTCCAGGTCAGTGAGCTGATAGTCCTGCTTCAGGGGAGGGGAAGAGGAGCCGGAGAAACTCCACTGCACAACACCATTCCTCTTCCAGATGCTAGACTTATAAAAGACAAGGACAAACAGGCAGTATTAATACAGGTTCCAAAACCTGTATAAATTTTATTGCCCACGTTAAATCACAACTGAACCGGCAATGAATCTTATTATAATACTGATTTACTCCACATATCCCAGCCCTACAACAAATCTCAACATGAGACCTAGAGTAACTTTGGTTGTCAAAAAAAAAAAAAAAGTTTTATATATATGGCATATGAAGCCATTTCATAAAAGGGCTAAGGGTCGAGTCAGATGGCCCCTGTGCACGAGGTGTGTCCTCATGTTGGGTCGGATTGGGGTGTTGCTGCCACTGCAACAGACACCCCAAGTGATTAGTGCAACTCATCACTCTCACACCCAAAACCCTGTCGACTTTAACAAGCAACGTTAACTTTCCGGATGAGACGGAATCACTGGCATGTCTGCTGGCTTTGTGTTTACCTTTTGTTCACATGTCTGATCGACAGGTAGCGTCATCCGGTCCTTTGCGTCACTGCAATGTGAAACGTTAGGGGCAGTTAGCAGACGGACCATGCAAAGCTAGCAGGTTAGCAGCTATTTGCCACAGCACGTGGTCAATCTCGGTTAACGTTGAGTTAAGTTAGTGCACTGACTAACGTTAGATACACTGGAGTAATTAGACTTTATTAGCTGAACACACATTAGGTGGACTGTCCCACAGCGGTAACTCAGCATTATTATTACAGCGTACCTACTTTGCACACTAACGTTACCACACCAAATCTCCTCAGGCGTCAAGTATGCCGTGCGTAAAAAACTATGCAACAAAGCAGCGTTAGTGTGCTGTGAGTGATAGTATAAAATAAATTCAATACAACCTCAACATAAGCCGAGCACAAAACGAGAATATCTGGTTAGAATATCACGCATGCAAAACTCTACTTACTCTGAGCACCCGGCGTGTACTTCCTTGGTCGGTGGTGCATTTTTGTTACGTAATTTACGCTCAAATATGGCTCAGCTGCGTTAAGTGAACGTGCAAAGAAGCAGAACAGCACCGGAAGTAAAGCGAACGTTAACAATGTGAGGCAGATTCCTGCTTCCAATTGATATTCATTCAAAAATCATAATTGGATAATCATATTTGTAGAACTGTCGAATACGCGTGTGGTTGTATGTTATATGCATTCTAATGTGTTGTTCGCCAATAAGGCTTTTATTTTGAAAGTTATCATCGGATGTCACAGTCTTAATTACGTTATCCAAATGCGGATAGCTTATCTTTTAAAGGAACAGGTTTTCGTGTAGTAAAGATTTGTAACTAATCCTAGTAGTCATTAAACGAAAACACGTATTACTAATTAGTGTCAGAAAATAATGAAAATATCATGTGTGTCATTCTTTAACTGTGAAGACTATAATGTCCAGTCATTATAGTGCCATCATGTTTAAGGACTGCTGACCAGGCTGTTCCACAAAACAGATAGCGGACTGAGCAGGAATTTTCCAGTTATCCTGGTATTTTAATGAAAATACTAAATAAAAAACTCTGTCAGTAGCATCGTGTTTCTGCTTTGCGTAACTTACAAGACTCAATCAGAGAGCCAAACGTGAGCGTCTGCGTCCTCCGTTTTTGCCGGTTCGCACTAAAATGCAGTCCGGTAGATGACCGGGGGAAGTTAGTTTAATGTTGAATATTAAACTAACTTCAGCCCGGTTGTAGATGGGGCCTTTTCACGAAGGCTGTGGCACATAATGAAATTTGTTTTGTGCAGCTATGCCTTCTCAAGACCACAACAGCCAGTACTATATTTACAGTCAGCAGTTACTAATGTGTTTGTGTAGTTATTATACAACATGTAGCCTACATACTTTTGGCAATATTTATTTATTTCAGTTTAGTAAAACCACTGAGCAAAGCTAATTTTTGCCTCTTCATTATATTTATATGCTTTAGTCCATGACTGGCAAAATTGCAGACGTTCAGGACAGCTACAAATACCTTGGGGTCCCGCGGGCTAACAGAAACCATGAGGAGGCAGCAAGGAAGTCAGCCACAGCCAAATACCTACAAAGAGTCAGTAAAGTCAGCTGATTGGGAAGAACGAGATCCGAGCCATAAACAGATACGCCCCGGCCAGTCATCAGATACACTGCTGGTATAATAAACTGGCCAAAGGAGGAGATAGTGGCCACTGACATCAAGACAAGAACGCTCCTCACAATGCACGGAGGGTTTCACCCCAAATCCAGCACCCTGAGACTGTACACCAAGCGTAGCGAGGGAGCCCGAGGGCTAGTGAGTGTCAAGACCACTGTCCAGGATGAAATAACAAAGATCCCCCAAAGATGAAGGGCTTAGTGAATACCTCAGGCAGCAGAAACACAAGGGTGAGGACAAGGAAGACAAAGAACCTTCATGGAGAGACTAAGCCGCTGCACGGCATAGAATCAAGAATCCTACCAGTGGCGTGAAAAGGCTGGACTGAAGGACGGCACAGAAGCACTAATCATGGCGGCACAAGAACAGGCAATCAGTACGAGATCAATAGAGGCTGGGGTCTACCACACCAGACAGGACCCCAGAGGCAGACTGTGCAAGGATGCCCCTGAGACAGTACAGCACATAACAGCAGGGTGTAAGATGCAGGCAGGAACAGCGTACATGGAACGCCATAACCAGGTAGCTGACACAGTGTACAGGAACATCTGCCATGAGTATGGGCTGGAAGTCCCAAGGTCAAAATGGAAGACACCTCCTAAGGTAGTTGAGAATGACCGAGCTAAGATCCTGTGGGACTTCAAGATCCAGACTGACAAACTGGTGATGGCTAACCAACCAGACATCGTGTTGATCGACAAACAGCAGAAGAAGGCTGCAGTGATAGATGTGGCACTCCCAACTGACAGCAACATCAAGAAGAAGGAACACGAGAAGCTCAAAAAATACCAAGGGCTGAAAGAGGAGCTAGAAAAGATTTGGCGAGTAAGAGCAACAGGGGTGCCAGTGGTAATCGGAGCACTGGGGGCTGTGACCCCCAAACTGGGAGAGCGGCTACAGCAGATTCCAGGTAAAACATCAGAGGTCTCTGTCCAGAAGAGTGCAGTCCTAGGAACAGCTAAGATACTGCGCAGAACCCTCAAACTCCCAGGCCTCTGGTAGAGGACCCGAGCTTGAGGATGACACACACCACCCCACAAGGAGGGTGAGAGGGGGAATTTTTGGCATTAGAAGGATTTTCACACATACGGTAGCCTATAGTTACCTTCCACTGCGACAGAAGAATGTTTACGGACCTCAAAGTCACAGTGCGAACCAGCTATTGAAAAATGTGTGTAGGTTCAAACTGACAGTAGCCTATATATTTAGACATTTCTTTTACATTTAAATATGTGCTCATCTTGCATTTAATGAAATAAACACACCAAGAATGGATCTAATGCAGCTAATAGGCCTATTCAAAAACATTTAAACTACACTTAGTCATTTCAGCTGAACAATCCTCACATAGGCTACTTCAAGAAAAACAATCACATCACCTCCAACATGATAACTATGAGAGGATTTATAATATTATAGCCTATATATGTTGTGTGTGTAGCATGAAGGAACTACAAATTTAGTTTCCTTACGCAGCCTTGTGCTGTATAATGATTAATAAATAACCTTATACCTTGAATGTTCCATCAGTGTGACTTTCCCAACATGACAAATGATTGCTCTTTGATCAGCTTCATACAGATTAGTTTGATTTAAATAGGAATTATTGAAGAAATGTATCCCACGGCTGCATCACCCACAGTCCCAGTGTTAGTGTAAAGGACAGTGTAGCCTATAGGCCTAGATTTTTTTAATGTGCTGAGGATGAATCCATGATTATCCAGAGATCGCTGTCTCTGTCTCTAATCGACGACAGACTGATCATTTTAAGCTGTCGTGCAAATGAATGCGATCCGACTGAGTTTTGGTATCGACAGTAGGAATGAAGTGAATCGGTGTGTGTCAGGCAGCCGCGTCAGGAGGGGAGGAGTCAGAGAAAACCCAGGGTTTCTTGAAGAAAACCTCCTCCCGAGCAGGATAGCTGCACAGCATAAGTTACCAGAAAGACTGATCTAGAATCTGATCGCGGTCTGTGAAAAAAATAACAAAGTCTCTCATCTCAGGCTTAACAAACAGAGTTTTCACTAATCCTGATTTCTGAAACAGGAGGTAAGAGGTCCAATATACGATCAATGAATTAAGGGGCGCATTAAAATAGGGGTGTTTTACTTTCAGTCAAATGTTTTTTGGCATAAATCGTTGTGTTTGTTTAAATGTATAATGGTAGTGTAACATGGTAACTTCTGGTATAGGCTACACTCCATTCAGCTTGCAGCTACATTGCACTTAAATTGTTTTGATCAGTTACACGAAGGGATTACTAAAATAAATCGTGGACTCTACTTTAACGATCTGATCACGACGTGAAGCGCGTGGCGTAGTTTGGGGCGAGTCCAGCTTTAATATTAATACTTAACGGCGAAAAAATGGTCAGTGCGCCAGGCCCACGGTTCAAAGGGGTTGTAGCCTACTTAATCTGTGAATTAGTCATGGGTGTGTTGGACAGAAGTTTGGACGTGATATAAAAACCGTCTTTGATCTTTAAGGATAATGTTCCTCTGCAGCTCCTGGAGTCTGTTAACAGACAGACAGACGCTGTCTGCTCTTTGAAATATCTGGATCCTTACTGCGCTGCATTGTTATAAACTATGATGAACCGGGGTCACATCTCTCTCTCTCTTCCAGTGGTTTCTTTTTGTTTTTTTATTTATGTATAATTAAGGATTTATTTTCATGATTAGAGAGGCTGCTGTCATTTTAAACATTCCCATGTGCGCAGCAAATATCGTGGGGCATATAAGCAGCTAAACAAACAAACAAAAAATCAGTAGTCATCAGCTTGAAATGACAGGACAGAAGAAACTCTCCAGAGGAAACAGAATTAAACTTTTAGCTTCTAAAATGTAGTCCTCTGATGGAGCTCAGGATTGATCAGGAGGACGGATGCTTTACTCCAAACAGCATGAAATGACAACTGCGTCGGTCCAGAGATTTACCAAAAACAGCTGTTGCCCATATGACGCCCATGGTCATTGTTTTAACTTTTAAGATGACTGCAAAATTATGTGCTACGTTGTAATCGTTGGATGGCTCCTCATCATCTGTTAATAACTTTATAAAGGTTTTAAACTTTAACTAATGGCTTTATATAGTATGCCTTGAGTAGGGATTAGAAAGTGTTCTCAATTAATTAATCATGTCCTGTATTTTACAGGTGAGATGAATTTGGAGGAGTACTTCAAAAGAATTGGTTTCCATGGCTCATATGATAAACTGGATCTTGCAACACTGAAGTTGATCCACAAACAGCACGTCATGTCAGTTCCATTTGAAAACCTCAGCATTCACTGTGGTGAGAGGATCACCATGGACCTTGAGGTCATTTTCAACAAGATAGTGAGGAGCAGCCGTGGGGGTTGGTGCCTTGAGAACAACTTCCTGTTTGGATGGGTGCTGAGAAAAATGGGCTATGACACTACGATGTTGAGCTCCCGAGTTTTCAACAGTATCCTCAATGACTTTAGTCCCCTCGACTCTCATCTCATCAACAAGGTTGTCATTGATGGAAAGGCTTATGTAGCGGATGTAAGCTTTGGGGTGTCTTCCCAAGTGCGGGAGCCCCTGGAGCTTGTCTCTGGAAAGGACCAACCTCAGGCAGGAGGTGTCTTTCATCTCATAGACAAGGAGGACATCTGGGTTCTGGAGAAGACTTGTAGGAAGCCAGAGGTCCTCAATCCAGACTTTGCCAAATCCAGTCTGGTGAACAGGAAAGAAACAAAGCAGATCTACAGCTTCACCTTGGTGCCTCGTGAGGCCGATCATTTCTTTGAGAATAACCACAAGCTCCAGACAGATTCTTCTTCACTGTTCACTAATAAGTCCATTTGCTCTTTGCAAACCCCAACAGGATTCAGAGCTCTTATTGGCTGGACCTACAGTGAGGTCACCTACAAACCTGAGCAAGGTGTTGATGTCTTAGACATGAGGGACATAACAGATGATGAGATAGAGCGAATTCTGATGGAAAAGTTTAATGTAAAGCTGCAGAACAAACTAAAGCCTGTAAGCAACAAATCATGGTACACTCTCTGAAATCCTGCACTCATCATCTGACTTTTTCACCACCGTGTTTCACTGTGGTTTTGATACACAGCTGTATGATTCTCTTTCCTGTTTGTCTCCTTACAATCACCCTACAAGTGGTGGAATTTAACTATGTAATCATGTAATGGACAATTTTGAGTTACTTGTCAGGGTTCGACATAAGAGATGGCCCGAGGCCAGTAAAAATGTATGTCGGGCAAGTTGATTGGCCAGTATTATTACAGTACCCAGTATTACAGTAGTATTTCTATTTTCTGCTATTTTATACTTCTACTCCACTACATTTATTTAATAAGTTTTGTTACTATTTAGTTTGCAGATTCATATCATCAGTATAAAAATAAAATCAACTACAATATTATGATGCATTATTATATATTATTATCCAGTAAAATAATTTCACTTACACAAGAATTTCTTTCTGAACACAAATGTGATGTTGTAAACAGGAAAAATGTGAATCCACATTGCTGCAGCTTAGTACAAAACAGATTACCTTTCTGGCTGTTTTGTGTGCATGGCCCTTCGCTGAAGAAATGCACCGCTGTCACATTGGGATAGGAATCCTTGACCAGGTCGAGTATTGGGGATAGATGGGTTCATATGGCTGCTGGGCTTTACTCTTTCGATGAGCTGACTGTGCCAAAGCCAACATGTTCTTCCACTCCACCAATATGTGGAACTCCCGTGTGGAGTGTTGACTGCTGGTGGTTCGAGGCAAAGTGTTCAGCTTGTATTTCAGGGGAGTACTAGCAAGCATAGTTTTCTGAGAAATCTACTTGAATTAGGCATTGATGATTTTTCATACTTCTCTTTAGTTCCCAGAGGTAAGCCAATTGCTGTTTTATGTGAAAGACTACAACTATTGTCTGTTTTCTTGAAAGAGGGATCCTATCAGTTGTTTACGGATGTGATCCAAATATTTCTGATTATGCCTTTAAATAATAACAAAATCAAATATTATTGTTGCATGACTTGGCTTCATTCCTACAAAATCCTGATTATCTGTTTACATCTTTGCTCCCATTGTGATGTCTGTAATTATAATCAATGCAGTGTTTGAGTTATTTTTATATGATCATTGTGTCTGATGAAAAGGGCATTTATGTAAGAGCAATCAAGTGCATAGATGAACGAGTCAAAAGTTTCATTGAAACGCAAATGCAATTTTATATTAAAAGATAGCAAAGGGATAATTCACTATATCACACAACACAGCTTGTTAGTACCGCCATGGAAATACATATACAGTCTTTTCATATTTACACATCAAGTGACAACCAAACAGAAATCATAAATACCTCTTTTTGTTAACTTTACAACAGCTATACGCGACCTGTATTTCATAAGATAAAAGAGCACTATTAAATAACTGGCATCTTCCCTACCATATACAAGGCTTGGAAACACAGTGGTTAAAATAATCCAGCAAAAACGAAACAAAAAATGTTCTTCTCCAGTGAGTAAAATTAATACAAGTCTAAAAACGATCATGAAATCCCTTTGTACAAAAGACTATACAACTTAATCAATGAAATATCTTCAAAAGAAATGTTTAAATGCTTATATCCACATGATAAAATCTGTACAGTTTTAGCATTCATGCAGCAGAGTTGGAGGGACTGTGAGCCGGGGTGATTGGTTATCGGGTCGCTGTGATGCTCTGTAGGCCTACTGTAAACCAACCGTCAGAGACCGTAGTAAGGTAGCTGCCAAGACCCTCTTCCATTGGCCTCAGTGCTTCGTCTAGCAGCAAATCAGCAGGTTGCTGAGCTTGTAGCAGATACTTCAAAATACATGGTTCTGTAAAGTCTAACTGATATATTTGTCAATATAGTAATAAAGTATTTCCTTGTACCATATTTCAACAACAGACAGAAGTTAAAGCAATGCATAATATCTTTACTTGTATTAAATTCATTTTTCACTAAGTTGTCAGTGATATATTTCTAAACTATAAACCCTCACTGTCCAATGGGGTCAGACATGCACAGTGTTCCTAAGTTACCCATTTAGCTATACTGTACTGTGGCAGATACTGCAAGTACACTTTTGCATTACAGATTTAGAGTTTATGGGTCAAAACTCAAAATTACGAACAGAACAAATGCTCTCATTTACCCCTACTAGTGTTTGGCCACGCAGATACTTTTGGTTTTATGTGCCAAGTTTTTGATATATTTGCCTCTGAAACTTGCTGCTACCCCAATACAATCTGGCAAACTGGAACTTTTGTGATTATGTCCCAAAAGTCAGAAAATCTAAATCAAAATCACATGAACATTTGTAGTGACGCTACATCTAATCCTACAACATAACGTTGCTCAACATTATTGTGTTTAGTCTAGTCAAACAGGTATTGTAATTTTCTTTTAAAAAAACATGTAATATTGTTTATCTTATGTAGGGAGGACCGAATGGTGTATAATTATAATAATACAGCAAAAAAGTTTGAGAGATGACATTAATAGATAATGTGGTTGGAAAGAATGGATGAAGGTTCATTGGTGAGGACAATATATAACGGACACACTCCCACGGTGAAAAAAAGGGAACTGTTTCTTGCACTAAAAATTAATTGTCGTGGAACTTGTTAAAAATCAAAGAGCTTCAATAGTAAGTGCTGTCGTAGATCATCATATATCCAGATATTACGATTCACAATTTTTTGGACAGACCAATGAAAGTTTTCAGGCAGAAGAAATCCCAGGGACATATATCTAACACTTGGGTAAATAAAACCACAACCATCTCCAGGTCTGAGAATTAATTAGTTTTTTTCTCTGTGATCTGGGTGACCAAACCCAAGTAAAACGAATGTCACGAACATGTTAAAACCTCTGAGAAAAATAAATATACAGCTGAAGGAGGAAAAAGAATGAAATGTTTGGCACTTAGGCTGTTACTTCATTGTGGCTTCCTCTGCAATGGTGGAGGATAAGCAATGTTTGAATTACAACTTTAAAAACAAAACAAAACACTAAAGGCTCCTTTCAGGTTACTTTTGCAGTAGATGAATGGACTTCTGCAACCAGCTGAGAGTACCAGCTACATGAAGTCCTTGCTTGATCTGTTGGAGACCGTAAAATAAAGAATCAGAAGCAGAGGGTGTCATCACTGAGGTCTCCCACATGTGAGGGCAAGTCAGTAAAGTCAAATGAAACAAACATCCCCTAATTAAGAACTAGATTTCTATTGAAATGTAAATGCAGAAAGAAGCATGGAGACTCTGTGAAGCCCCACCCTTTGGCACTGTCATAAATACAACCCCTGAATACCCGGGTCCTGCTGCATAAAGTTCTACCACAACACTCTCTGAAAGTCAGCAAACCCACTCCACAAGTACAAAAACGTTCATAAATAGAGTTCATAAAGACATGAGTGGCATTAGAGAGAGCATCACGGTTACATCGTCCAGGGGAGTATGTCGTAGTTTTAGCTTTGTCCCCCCAAAAAAGTTCACAAAAAATAAAAGTTCTACACAGAGAAGCGTTTGTGGCATTGAGTGTCTGCATCCTTTAAAAAGGCTCCAGATAACGCTTGTGTCTCTCTGTTCACTTCCTCCCCAGAGTCTTTTGCTTCCTTATTCCAGCATGCTCGTTAGTTTATGATTTTGCCAAAAGGCAGTAGCACTGAGGGTACTGTTGGAGGACTGTACTGCAAGTGTATGTGTGTTCGCGCACAAGTAGGACGGAGCCCCAGTTTCAGAGACATGAGTTGTGTTAATGGGAGCTTAGTTCTGTCTGACCAGGGGCATATGTACCGTTACTCTATGTATGCAACTCTTTGTACCTATTTCTCTTTGTGTGTTTGTACCAGCTATACATACAGGTGTGTGTGTATGAGTGTATTAGGTAATGGAGGTTGAGATAAAGCACAGAGAGGCAGTGGGGCCTCCCTCACACTTCGCTCTCTGTGGAGGGCTTGCGCGTGGAGGCCCAGCCAGTGTCAGGCAGGCTGTGCTGGGCATGACGCTGCGGGGTGATGGCTGAAGGGGTCAGGGTGGTTATGGAGGAGCATTCAGATGCCTCCTCCTGGAGGAGCTGCTCCGTCTCGCCATCATCTAGCGAAGCACTGCTGGCCTGCAGGGACACGGTGTCTGTACGCATGCAGGTGTGCAGGCCGCCTCGGGACGGCTTGATCTGTTTTAGGTCATCCCAGTAAAGCTCCTCATTGGACAAGAGACACACACCCTCCACAATGCGGATCTTCTCCTTGGTGTAGCCTCCGTCCACCCCCCCCTGGACAACGAGACAGGGTTAGTTAGTCAGAGTGATTGCCTCTATACCAGCAGTTTAATGGGAAAACCACCCATTATATACCCAAACATTTATTAGGAGTTAAATTGTGATGTTTTTTTGTTTTCAACGTAGGAGCCACCAAGGTGTGACAGATAGACCTCCCATTTTTTTTCTTCCTTAACCCTAACCTTTTCCTCATTTTTAAAGAATATTTACAGTCTGTTGATGTTAAAATCAGCTACACAAACATCACCAGCATTTTAAAAGTTGGACCTGTTAAAGGTGGACCCTTTAAGGATTAATCAGCGACCAACTGCACAGCACGCCAGAGCAAGATGGAACCTTCAAACACGACCCATGCACAGGAAGTTGGCTCCTTTTAGTAATGCTGTGGTTTCTTCAGGAGTTAGTTTTTCATTTTCAGATTAAGGTGCTACAGGTATTTAACTACTATAAACATAACACCAGGCTGTCAGCCTGTGTAATCTTGAGTGAAATCCACTGGATTGCTTTATAGCACAAAAGTCATGGACAAGTTATTCAGTCTATTGTAGAGGGAATCATCTAGACATATCCAGCATGACCTCTCTCTTTTGACAAATAGCTTAATTACTTAGTAGGAACTAAAGGGGTCTATGGGAAATGTAGTCTTGAGTTTAAGAAAGGCTATCAATCAGTTCTGACATAGAGACCATCAACTGTCTGTACTGTGTTCTTAGGTGTTTAAAGTTATTTCAGGGCCTGTTGAAATATATATAATTATTTAATGACGTTACATGTAGCACCTTTAACAAAATCTAGCCATACATTTAGTTTCTTCACCTGTTGAAATGTCAGTTTCACAAAAAACAACTAATAAGTAGTATAAACACTGACATGCTACTGATCACAGAGCTCTGTAACTGCACCAAAAGAGAGCAGTTATTCATTTTGGAAAGCAGGTTGCATGCAGCGAAAGACAGAAGAAATGGTGAAAAACAAAGAAACGGCAGAGGACAAGTCAGAGAAAACATTACTGGAAAACTCCTTCATGCTGTGTAACTACCTCTCCACTGGACAAGTGGGTCAAAAGATAAAGGGAGAGAGGGAGTTGTAGGGGTGAGAGAGCTGCAGTGAGGAGAGAGAGGAGGAAGAAAAGATGAGCACTGGTGTCTGTAACCTGCTCACGTCAACACAATCAATTTGACCAGAGACAAACAGTCAAGGCATTTGTCTCTGTATTTACCCACCATACACCTACATAGTCTGTGATCATTCTATGAAAATATAATGGATTTTATTTAAATCCATTCATCTGCTAAAAAAAAAACTTTTTCACATCAATGTCCAGACTGATTGTTACCTCTTTCTTATATCGAAGCTGGTTGTATATTGGAGGCTTCTGCGATGCCTCGATCTTGACCTCTTGTGTGGACGTCCGGTACGAGGGGTTACTGTAGGTCAGGTTGCTCACTCCTGGGTCAGCAAACTTTGACTTTTTATGTCTGTCAACCGGAAGAAAACGGGACATGTCTTTCAAATTGAACTGTCTGCTGTGTATCAAATGTAAGTGTAAATGACAAGCAGGGGACTGACCTGTAAAAAATCAAAGCAGCGATGACGATCAGAATAGCCAGGATGGTCAGAACTCCACCAATCACATAGCTGATATGAAGTCCTTCTCCTTCAACAGATAGCACAGATGTTAAACACTGTGTGCTTAAAAGAACATTATAGACTTTT